GACAATTGTTGAACCACCATCCACTGTGAAAGGCTAGAGGACATGTTCTACCATCTTTACTTACCAATTTATCGATAGTACTAAAATACATGTTGTTGTGATACGAAAAACTGTCGGTGGCATTACCACTATAAGTTTCTATTTTCAAACGAAAGTAATCGTCTTCATTTCCAATTTTAAATGATTTATATTCGGCCCACAGTTTCTTACCAGAGAAAGTTTCCAGTTCTATTCGCAATTTTAGATCGTTTTTATCCGATAATCGGTGAAGGACATTATTTCCAATCCAAAATTCTTTACGCACATCGCCAAAACCATGTTTGTAGTCATTCCAGGATCTATTAAAATTTTCTTGCACGTCGAAACTATCCCGTCTTTGAATTACTAACCAACCATTTCTACATAATCTTGTTAAATTGTTTAAATCCGAATAAAATCTATATTTACCAGAAAGTCTTTCTGAAGAATTAATAAATGTAGAATCAAAGCATTCAGATGAAATTAATTGTGTTTGATTGGTTTTATTCGTTTCTTCTGATTTATTACCCTTGCCTATTAGCTTTGTTACATTTACATCTTGTGATTTAACAGTTAATATGTTTTCGTACTTTTCAAAGGTACTTTTTAAATTTCCAGTTTTGTTTTCCACTTTATCTATTTTATTTAAATCTTGTTTTACATCAAACTTATTTTCATGGGATTTAACATTTGAAATGTTTTGAATATCGTAGTTCTCAAAGGTACATTTTAAATTTTCAGTATTGATGTCAAACTTATTGTTTTCTAATTTATTATTGATTTGCTTAACAGAATTTTCTAATACACTCATTTTTGTGAAAGCGACATCCATTTTTGATGGAATCTGAAGTTTATCTAGTTTTTCTTCTAGATGGTTTATTTTAAATAAAACCCTGAAAAAAAATTATGACAATAATATATAAAATTATTCTCAATTATTACGTGTTTATAACATTCATTTTTTCATCAAGACGTGATAATTGATTAATCCAATTTGGAATGGGCAACTGAGTACAGGATAAGAACGCTCTTAATTGCAAACGTTTTAAATTTATGTCCAAAGACTGAAAAAGAGTTTGATATGAGCCAAATTCATCACGGATCTCCGTTTTCTCTTCTAAAATAGAAATAATTATTTAACACTGGAAAACGTGTACATTGTAAAAAGTATTTAACAAGAGCTGGTTAAAGATAAGTATTTTTATAATGAAGAAATAATGTAATACATTGCGCTTTAATACCTATAATAGTATAAAATATGTGTAAAAGTTAGTAGTATAACCTCGATCTGCAACTGTCTCAATACAAACTAACAATAAACAAGTAGAAGGTGAGAAAAACTCAAAAGCTTTAGTAAAACCTTCTCCCTCTCCTAATTAATGGACAATAATACTCCATAAACAATAATCATAACAACAATCCTAAATTGAAATGCTAATAAAATTAGGAATTGTAGAAGCGAACTTATATCTTTCCTGCAACGGCTTAGCATTGTCGGAAACACATCTCATAGTAACCGAACCGTTCAAGATACCTGAATACATAGTGATATGAAAGGATCGTCAAACTAATAATAAACTTATAAAATAATCACTAATTTTATTCACGTCATCCAGGCGTGCAAGAATAATTGGCCTGGACTTTTTCCCGATATTCAACCTATCTAAAAGCCTATATTTTTAAATGTACTATTGAAACAAGCTTTTCACGACGTATTGCCGATGTAACTAAATTTTTCAAAGATTTGTAGTAATCGAAATGAGAGGCTAGTTTTGTTCTCCTAAATTTACCCAAAGTCTGTTCTCTGAGTTTCATCATTATCCTAATATTGGGAGTTATCCATGCAGTAAAAGACTTAGCAATCCTAAGAGGACGCACCGGTGCATATAGAATCAGTAGTATCGACAGATGGGAGTTTTAGAAGTTTAATTTTTGACCTCTTTGATTAATGTCATTCATATGTAAACCTGCTGCTATTCACTTGCTTTGTTACTGCGTAAATATAGTTAGTATGATTTTTTATATGAAACGGGATTTAATTACGTGGTGATAATTACACATTAAGCTGTAATAATAGTGAAAGTAGTTTGAAATGATTGCTCATTTTTTATTTCAATTTAGAATAGATAGTGGCTGTTGTATGCAGGGTGACCCACGTAAGCGGCAAAGCAGATAAATGACATTAAGGAGCCGACACACACAGATCTTCATTAGAGAAAAGTTCTATCTTGTTCTACATCAAACTTATTTTCTTGCGATTTCACATTTGAAATGTTTTGAATATCGTGTCCTTCAAAGGCAGTTATTAATTTTCCCGATATGTTTTGCACGTTATTTATTATAGTTAAAATTTGTTCATCAAACTTATTTTCTTGGGGTTTAAAATTACAAATGTTTTGAATATGGTGCTCTTCAAAGGCACTTTTTAAATATCCAGTTTTGTTTTCAACTTTATTTATTTTATTTAAATCTTGTTCTACATCAAACTTACTTTCCTGGTATTTAACATTTGAAATGTTTTGAATATCGTACTTCTCAAAGGTATATTTCAAATTTTCATTTTTATTATTAATTTGCTCAAACGAATTTTTTAATAAACTCATTTCTGTGAAAACGCTATCAATTTTTGATGGAATCTGAAGTTTATCTAGTTTTTTCTCTAAATGATTTACTTTAAATAGAACCCTGAAAAGAATTATGACTACAGAAAACTGTTTTCTTCGTGAATATTTAATATTCTCAATTATTACGTGTTTATAACATTTATCTTTTCGTCAAAAAGTGATAATTGATTAATCCAATTTGAAACGGGCAACTGAGTACAGGATAAGAACGCTCTTAATTGTAAACGTTTTAAATGCATATTCAATGAGTAAAAAAGAGTTTGATATGAGCCAAATTTTTTGGTATGATGACATCAGATGACACAACATTAATTATAAGACAGCAGCGTGGTTAAAAAATTTTAAGATCTATCCCAATCCGGATATATTCCAGCTACTGGTACTGGTCCCGTATTCAAGAATATCCGAGCCTTCTTCAAACATCATGGCAGGTGCACTGATTATAAAACCCTCAAAGGCAATCAAATAGCTNTTGACAGTTATAGTGTCGTACTAATATCAACTTCCCTCTGCAGTGTTTACAATGAGCCGGGTAACCATGACGACACGAATATTTATATTAGAAGATGTGGTAACAGAGTTGAGATTAAAACGAGGGACACAATATTTCCGAGATTAATTTAAAATCGAAATCTATAAGAAATTGCAAACCATGCTCAAATCTATTTGTTAATTATCCCAAATAAAAAAAACTGTAATAAAATAATATAATACTATTTTATTTCCGATTTAGAAGTAGTTTTAGTTGTAATTTTACAAGAGGGACACCTGATTGATTAATGAAGTGCAAACCAACTTTTACAAATTTTTAAGTTTTGCGTACATAAAATATTTGTTACTTTGATGTAACTTAATGAAGAGATACTAATGAGTCTCACTACATTGCTTTTTGCTCGAATGAATGTAATTTGTTACGTTTATAAGATATGATATTAGAGGGACACTTTTTTTGCCCTTTTGAGAACGACCCTTATAAAATGGTCTACGATCACTCGTTTTCAAGATAAATAATACTAAGCAAAATACTGCACACAAACATGTGTATTAAACTATTACTAAAAATCTTAGTAGGCTCCTTTCATTTGTTGATCTTTGCTGTCAAGCGGTCGATAAAAAATATTTTAGTGCAAAAACCTTTATTGTAATTTACGTTTAATTAAATCAAAATGGTTCAATACTCAAACAAAGAGATGGCAAACATTCACTTTACGTACGGTAGAGCTGATGGAAATGCCAGAGAAGCACGAAGATTGTACGCAGAACGATATCCAAATCTACAACTTCCCTGTGAACGAACGTTCGCTTCTATTCATAGATATTTGTGTGAAACTGGGCACTTTAAGGAAAATCGTTACGACTGTGGAAGGTCGTGCACTACGAGGACTGTAGAAGTGGAAGAAAGGGTGGTCGATGTAGTAGCTATCAATCCTACGGTAAGCACTAGGAGATTATCGGTACAAAAAAATGTGCCGAAAACCACCGTTTGGAAGGTATTTAAAGATCAGCTATTGCATCCATATCATTTCGAAAAGGTGCAGGCCTTAAAACCCACCGATTGTTCAGTCATGGGATTATGGAACAATGGCGCCATGACAGAAATTTTCCGGAAAAAATGTTTACCGATGAAGCTGGATTTACCCGAGATGACGTCATTAACTTCCATAATATCCATGTTTGAGCCGATGAAAACCCATACAATGTTTTAGCCACGAAACATCAAGAAAGATTTTCTATTAATGTATGGGTTGGTATTATTGGGGATCATTTAATTGGTCCGCATGTACTTGATAACCGTCTCAACGATACAAATTATCTTAACTTTTTGCAAAATACCTTGTTTGAACTGAAGTGCCGTATCAAACACGAAGGGAAATGTGGTTTATGCATGATGGGGCTCCTCTTCATTTCAGCGTTCAAGTACGGCAATATTTAAATGAAACCTACCGTGAAATATGGATAGGTCGAGGAGCGCCCGTAGCATGGCCCCCACATTCGCCGGACTTGAATCCCATAGACTTCTTTCTCTGGGGTTACCTTAAATACTATTTAGTGTATGCAACACCAGTTAACAATGTTGAAGAGCTAGAACAACGTGTAAGGGACGGTTGTAACACTATTCGAAACAAACAAGGTATTTTTTGGAAAGTAAGACGTTCATTAATTAAACGAGTGAGATGTTGCATCGACATGGATAGTGGAATTTTTGAACAATACTTATAACTTTTTTTGGTGTTATTTGTTAAAAATTTAAGCGCTTTTTGTTAATGGTTTAAGTAAAACTTTTTATTTTTGTTTAAATTAATACACATGTTTGTGTGCAGTATTTTACTTTGTATTACATTATACATATTTACATTTTATAAGCAGAACATTTTTTATGTATTTTTTTCTGTAGATTCTAATTTTAAGGTTAAAATAGTGAACAGATCAAAGCAAAATAAAAATATGGGAAATAAATTGCGCCCCCTATCCCTTATTTCCGCAACTGCACATTCCTTCTAATTTTTCATTCGATTATCGTATTCGCCTCGTAAAAATAGCTAGATATGCAAAATTTCGTGTTTCTAACCCTACTAGTTTTTGAAATAATGAAAAATAACCACCTATAGGTATACCTATAGGAAGCATTTTAGGACACACCTTTATATGAACTTTTCTTCATGATTTGTTATGTAGAATTATCCGGTCAAATATATGAACGCAATTTCCGGACACCTGTATTATGATAAAACTGTTACACTTTTAAACAACATTTTGAAGAAAATCGCAAATTAGTTGCAAATTAAGATTTATGCAGTAAAATAAGCGCCATACGACGCTTAGTCAGTTTAAGAGAGATAACTTTAACCACACCAAAATTAATTTTTTCGCGACTGTTATTTGTCGATTTTGGTGCAATTTAGCGCGATGATTTCATTTTAAGTAGTACTTTTGAAGATATTTATAAGGATTAGAGGTTTGTAGTGGAAAATTCATTTTCGCTAATAATTTTCAAACTGCTGTACAAAAATATACTTGTTTTCTGTTTTTAAAGAACTTTCTATCCATGTTCAAGGAAGAATCTTAAACGATTTAGGGGTTACAACAACGTCAACATTTACATAATCAACAGAAAATTTCTATCGATCTTAGGAGAATAATATCCGATAGAGGAGAAGCATTCCTATTCGATGAGATCAATAACTATTGCATAAAAGAAAACATTGATATGATTGCACTGATTACTGCCAGAGTACCACGAAGAGACGGACAAGTTTTTAACTTGTCTGTCTCTTTATCCGTCTCGATTAAAGAGAATCATAATATCGTGTCTAAACATCTTAGCTCAATACACA